TCTAGTGAAAGTGTTGCGTGAATAGATTCGAAGGTCGTTTCCACCAGAAGACGATGGCGGATTGACTTTAATGGAAAATTCTTGTTGATGTTGTTTCCGAGGCAATCTTCTTCGATTCTGGTGAAAAGATGCTAAGCTTTCGTGCGTCATATGACGGACATCATCAGAGCGAGGTATCATAGTCACAACAAAATTCAAGATAACGGGTGATTTGAAGGACAAAAGCTTAGCACCTTTTCACTGGAATCGAAGAAGATCGCCTCGGAAACAGCGTCAGAATGAATCTTGCATTAAAGTCAATCGACAGCTGGTCAAGAGTAATCGGCCGTTGTCTTCTGGTGGAAACGACCTTCGAATCTCTTCCCCCAAACACTTTCACTCGAAATGAAAGTGAGCTCAACAACGAGCACGGTAAGCCGGATTTTCTTCGTACATTTCAACTGACAAAAGTCCAAGTCAACCCTTCTGCGGCATCCGGTCTGCCAGTCTACAAATGCATTAGATCCGCCTTCTCAATCGAATTGAGTGTTACGCCAGTATCTATCTTCTGATCCCAGTTTCTCTTCATATCTTCATATACAACATTTCTATAGAAGGATTGTCGACTAAGCAAAGTTGTATTTGCTATAGCAATCGACTAGATCACTTATTTTCCTTTATTATTAGGTTTCTCATACCACCATTATAGCCTACATAAGAATTGTGCTCAGCATAGTTCGGTAAAGGTGATAAAAACCTATACTTGAATTTCTCCACAATCATATGATTAGGCTTCACCTTTCTTTTCAATTTCACAGTCTTCCTTCCGACAAGTTATTCTCACCCTGTCTCGACTGTAATCCTTTGACCCAAGGGTATCGGGTCACTGGCCAGTGTGGCCTAATGGTTCAAGTATCGAGATTATACACTCAACTGTCATGGTTCGAGTCCCGCTCGAGGTGTTGCTAAGACCTATACGAGGTCATACTTGCAGTCCACTTTAGCTTGGATGAGAATACCCTTTGGGAACGCAAAAATATGTGAAATTCACTCATATTATTCCGAGAAAATTCAACTACCAGTCTTACATCGCCTCAACACGAAATAGGGAGAATACATTTCATATGACTGACTTACTGATAGTCTGTAAACCCTACTTATATACGAAAATTAAATTTCTTCATTCCTAATCCTCCATTAGAGGCTCTTGTTGTTGTTTGAGCCTTTTGGTGAAGATTTCCCATTTGAGCATTACATCAGCAATATCTTTTTCTTATCTATTCCCTCTTGGATTGTAACAGC